GTAATTTTGTATTTTAAATTGTTTCAGATGTCTCATTGTAAGTTTCAATAGGCCTCACATGTTTTCTTCAAATGTTTATAAAGATGTAAATATTAGCATATAGAAGAATTTTCCAAAGTAAAGATAAGAATACAAATGTTTAGGGTCAGTTGGATTGTTTTAGGGCCCAAATTCCATCTGAACTAAGCACTTCTGCTGGGGGTGGCTTGATGTCATCCTCAGCTTCCAAAACAATATCCCATCTGATCCAAGATTTGGCTAGCTTGGATTGGAACAGGAAGTGAGAGGCCTCAATGGAGCCTCAAGTGCTTGACAGAGGTGGCATTGATGATGACTCACAGTGGTAGAAAAGATTGCGAAGAATACATCGTGCAAATCTAGACTTGAGCTGTCAAAATTAGTGATGAGAAGATTGAGAATAGAGAGGGTGTGGTTGATTGAGCCGTTGTAGGTTTTAGAGAGCTGAATGAAGGGTTAGGGTTTTGAGGTTCACTAAGGATCCTGTGGGTGCATGCCCACTGTAGTGAAAAGAAGCCACTAGTGTTATAATATAGAATATATGTTTGGTGAGGTTTTTCTTTTCATAAGTTTTATGTAAAATGTATATCCATCCAGATTTGATTGGGTTTCCAGCACTCAAACCTGACAACCAAACCAAAATTATTAGGATCCTGATAATCGCATCTACTGCTGAGCAAAAATAAAGGGAAACCAAGCAAATTTGACCATATCTGGTCGGGCACGTTGGTTTTCTCAGACAGATGGACAGACCTAGATTAGATTACTAAGTTTTTCGTATGTATAACAGATTGCTTGTTGACTATCTTGCCATCTTTGTCTCCTTATACTGAATTCTAGATGTAATGGAAACACTGAACGCTTTAAATTTATTACCCTGTTGTAAGGGTGACCATTTCTCTAGTTAATAGTATTAAGTTAAAATGGCTCTTTCAGTTGTTATGGGGTACTAATTTAATTTTCATTACAAAGTTGTGAACTGAATTTTTGTAAATGGATTAGAGATGTTGCAGAAATGTTGAAAGGAAGTTGTCTTATTGAATGTAAAAGAAGTGAAAGTGCTAGTATAATGCGATTTACAGTAACATACAGAAAGGCCCACAGGTAGTTTCCAATTGGAGTTGTTGTCTTTGATTACATAGTAGTCACAATGGAGTGCAGATCGTGCTTGTTATCCTGCATTTAGCTTACCAATTTGTCACATGATACTGATACACAATTAGATAACACATAATGAGGAAAAAAAGAAGAAGCACATGTGCTTCACTTGTTTGCATGATGTTATAATTTCTTAACCTATTCCAGTCTTCTTTGTAGTCTACAATTTGGTTGCAACTATTTTACCATGCTATTCTGCATTGTAGTCAGAGGGACTAAAATTTGTTGATCCACATGGTGTTTGACTAATATCACATGCGTTTTTCTTTTTCTTGGTGCAGCAATATTCACTTTGACATATCCATCACAGTACTGGTTAACTGTTCCCCATGCTCTATTAGAACCTCAGAATTGTTTCACTGAATTTATATTGGGCAAGATGAGCACATCTAGTCGGCTACAAGAAAAGAACAGAAAAAGTAGTGGGATTTCCCTGCATCATGATGAAGAAAGTGCTGCTAGGACAAGGCCTTTCAGCTGTGAAGAGATTATGCTTAGGAGGAACAACAAAAAGTTATGTGATAATGCCATTGATCTAAGGAATATACCAAGGGAATCTATTGTTGAAAATGTTTCAGATCGTTTTGAATCTGAAAGGGATTACGGACACCATAAAGATTTACCCCCTTTTGTTGAAAAATCTGTCTCAGACGAAGCTGTGAAGGCAAGTTCCAGAAAGAAAGAAACATATAATTCCAAGAGTGCTAAAACAGAAGTTGATTTTGCTAAAGGGAAAGATAGAGGAGGCCATGAGTCCGAAAGCTTGAAGGATAAACCGAAGAAAGATACAAGAACTGAAGCGAAAGGAGGAAAAACTGAAAAACAAGTACACAGCAGAAAAAAAGTTGACGAACACTCAATTGATAACTTTCCAAGTGAATCTGTGAAGAAGCATTCAAGGGACTCAAAAGGAAAGGAGAGACATGGGGACCTAAGTAGAGGAAACTCTGAACGAGAAAGCAAGAGAAAATACCAGAATGGAAATGAGGACAAAATTAGAGACAGAAATGCTCCAAAGAAACACGATCCAGGGAAACATCATCTTGTAGAAGTTTCAGAGAGAAAGGAGACGAAAGAACCGTCAAAATCACGTTTGGAAAAATCAAGGCTAAAAAGGGGACGGTCAAGAAGTAGAGACCGTGAGGATGGACATGGATTTAGATCTGTCTCACCAAGGGCACAAAAGTATACATCTCATAATTTAGGGATGCGCAGCGAGATACATGTGCTCAAAGATAGATCTGAAAGACAGCATTCCGATATTGACAGGAGCAGAGTATCTAGTAATGGCTCAAGTAGCCACTATCGGCGACATGGTGTGCCTGTGAATAGGCTTGGTGGCTATTCACCGAGGAAGAGAAGAACTGAGTCTGCTATTAAGACTCCATCCCCACCTGATCGTTCACCTGAAAAGAAAAGAGCCAGGTGGGATCATCCCCCTACAGCGACTGACAAGGTATTATCTGGTTCAGTTGCTTCTCTTTTTAATTCATCAAACAGTAATATGTCCTCAAATGTACATGAGATGGCCATTGCTGTTGCTGTTGCTTCGGCTACTAGGAAATCTATTTCTGGGGCTTCTCCTAATTCTTTATTGTCTAAGAAGAATGCTTCCATTGACTCTGTACAACTAACACAAGCTACTCGGCCTATGAGGAGGCTTTGTGTAGAAAATGTTCCATCTTCAACCTCTGAGAACACTTTAGTGGAATCTCTTAATAATTTTTTGTTGTCTTCGGGTGTCAACCATATCCAAGGAACACGACCATGCATTAGTTGTTCGGTAAGCGTAACAATTTTGAGCATGTAATGTTTATCCTTGTGATACATGCAAGTATGACTTAAGGATGAGGCGTGCTTTAACTATTTTAACTGCAGATTAACAAAGAAAAGGGTCAAGCTGTTGTGGAGTTTCTTACGCCTGAAGATGCTTTGGCTGCTCTATCATTTGACGGCAGTGACTTCTCTGGTTCCATTCTTAAAATAAGGCGCCCTAAAGACTTTGTTGAAGTGGCTGTAAGAATGATAATTCTCACCTTTTATTTCTCATCTCACCTTTTCTTTTCTTATCTCATTGTTGCTTTATACCATTTTCTGTTGCTTGTTGGTTGTATGATCTTTTCCTTTTGATATATGACCTACTAAGTTATGTTGCTCGAAGTTGATATTCTTCTTTTAGCTGGTCAACGTATTTTTCTCTGTTTATTTGTTGAATAATGCATTCACCTACTGTGGAATCCTTGTCTTAACTTGCTGATTTGTTGTAATTTTTTAATTATTTATTACATGTCTTAGGGGCGACTATTAATCTACACTATGATTTGGTCTAATTGTCTTCTTACTTATCAAATTTGTTCAATCAAAGTCCAAGTCCAACTGAATCATGGTCCAACTGTTATCCATCTGCTGCCACACAACAGAGCAGAAGCCTTTTCAATTCTCGCTTACCTTGATTGAAAAAGGTGTTTCCCAGGTTGCCCAAAAATTCAGCAAAAACGAACTTTTTTCTGCAGTAAAATTTGGACCTCGAGCCCTAATTGACTAGGTGGTTATAGAGAGGGGTCAAAGGTCTATAGAAAGCCTACAGCCCCATAAGTCAGCATGCCGTGTCAAATCCTAAGTTCCTGACCAATGGTTTCTTCCCAGGAGAATTCTTTATAAAAAAAAAAACAGAACAGATGGCATGATTGTAGAGTGACATGCCTTTTGCCATTTATTGGACAATAGTTGAGTTAAAGAAACAAATTTTTCCAAATAGCTTTCCAATTTTATGTTCTTTACTTTGTTCACCATATGAGTTTTCTGTCGGCAATTCCATGTTCTATGAATAGGCACTGATTCAGGATAATATGTGGTCACAAAAGCATGTGTAGTACAAATTTTGAATATGTTGACTACTTCATAAGCACACAATTTAGCATGTGTAAAATTATTTTTTATATGAATGGCTTTGCAAATTACACGATCTAACAAAGTGATAATTTTAATTCTTGTTTGACCTTTTATTGTTTTAATACAAACTTCCCTCATCCTTCTTTTCTTTATGAAATGGGAGGGATGGAGGTATTCCAATGCAAGAAAATGCGTAGCATTGAATATCTGATTGAATCTATCATGTTCTTGAGTCCCTGGTCTTTGCACGTTCGCTAGATGATGGAGTTGGCCGTAGACACCCATTCTTAGGACTAGGATTGGTTCTTAGCTGTAAAATTTTATATGGTTGTATTATTGTTGTACTTCGAAAGCAGAATCAAGGTTGTTTGTTAAATTTAACATTGGGATATGTTACTGTAGGTTCACAAGCTCTCTATTGTACATGGAATAATGTCTTTGTCCTGTTACACAAGAATTTTTCTGACTGTCATGTTGGAATCTCTTAAATAGGATGTTTATGTTGGGTGTGTCGTAATTCACATTCAGGGCGATGATGAAGCTGACTCCTAAATAAGAAGATTTCCAGGTGTAGTGACAAGTTTGATGTGCTTGCAGCTTCTTCTCTCGATTTGGATTTGGGTTACTGATCTAGGCTTAAACAGTAATATTTAATGACATGGAGTACAGTGTTTGCTTTATTTGGCATTTAACATATAATTTGCATGTAATATAGTCTTTTAGGACACTGGGTCTCATTCCCAGTGGTATTATCTGCAACTTGAATTTTCTGATGGATGTGCTTGACTTAAGTCAATTTAAGCATCAGTCATGATATGCTTTCATCCTTTTTGCAATTAGCATGTTGTAATATGCTTCTTGTGTAGTGTTTTTGAAACTTTTTTGAAATCTTAGCATCACCAGACATGATAGAAACAAGGAACACGCTTAGACGAGTATGAGCTTCATGCTGTCACCATGGGTAGTTCTTTGCTTGATTGTTTAGTTAGTACAAATACCATTATGGGCTCAAGATGAATAGATGGAAGCCATCCAGTTTTCTAGCCAATCTAGAGACGCCCTATTTTAACGTTAGGAAGTGGGACAGAGAGAGATACTAAACAGTTAGAGATAAAATCAAGTTCTGTGGTGATTTTCATGTGTCTCTCTTTCATGTTGAATATAAGCATTCGTCCTTTCCATGCTGCCTCTTTGTTGCATGCCTGCATGAGAAAAAACTTATCTGGCCAAAAGTTCTCCCACAGTCTTTATGTGCTTTCTCTCTGGTCTATTGGCTCTTTAGCTTCTCATGGATGCGCTGTATTCTATTGTTAGAGATATAACACTTGTAGCAATTTCCTTGAAAGTCAGAAGGTTCTATAGTTTAATTATTTTATTTTATTTTTACATTAACAATTTATTGAAATTAGCTTCACTTTAAATTATTAACCTTGATGACATATGCTATCTGTTAATGCTTATTGGTATTCTTGGAAAAAAAATTGATGATCTCTTTGTATTGACTCTGTCAAGAAAGCTGAGAGCCTAGGATTGAGGACAGATTTCAGAATTGGACCTAGCACAGTTTCCTTCTTTCAATTTTAATTACATGGTTTCCTACTCGGAATGAATTAATGGGTCAAAGATAAAAGACTGCATTGAGTTTTGCTTATCATTCCACTTTTTCGAATTTGAATCTGAATTGAGATTGTCATAAATGATATTTTCTGGATTTGGGTGGATCCAATCCAATTAAAATCCAAATATGATAAACAAATTAATTACAATGAAACTTATTTATGTATGTTTTCTTTTGGATAATAAGTGCTTTAAATAAAAAGACATAAGTGAAAAAGCTTTGATTTCATTAATTCTTACTTTTAGTACAATCTGGTTATACTCTTCTATGCTGCAAGCTTAACTTTATTTGGTTAAACTACTTTCTATTACTGCTTTGCAAATTCTGAGGTATGTTGTGCTTACTATCCATGGAGCAGGTTTTCAGACAGTTGCTATTTTCATGCAGACTGGTGACCCAGATGAATCAATGGCTGTGGTTGAGACAATTAGTGATGTTGTGAAGGATTCACCCAACAAGGTAAGCTGGTGATGCAACATATAGTAATTGTACATGTAATTTCTGCTACAATTAGTTTAAGACCACTGTGCATGCACTTCCTCACGAATTCAGGGTAGTGGAGAACTAGTTTTGTTAGTTGGTCACATCATCATCCAGGCTTTGTTCTTATAGATTTGTCCTTGCTTTATTCTCTACATCATTGATAGACTGGGATTCTAACTAAGCTTAAGTAGTTCATCTGTTGCATGCTACTTTTAAGAGATCAGGGTCTTTTGATGTTATTTATCCTCCACCTGATTTTCTCAATAGTGAAAGCTTTTTGCTTCCTGTAATGTTTTAGTAAACATAAAATTTTAAGGTAGCGAAAAGGACTCAATCCTTGTGCATCACCTTTATGGTTCATGATCCTTATATTCTTGTTGATTAATCTTGCAATATTGCAAAGTTGCTTTTTATCCTTAAAGATGACTGCAAAATTGCAAACTTCTGTTTTCTAATACAGGGAGATTATCATAAGTTTATAACTGCATGGGGAACCTGATAGGTACTTGTAAATACCTAACGAATGACAGAAATCTTTTTTCTGTCCCTACTTTTGGTAACCATCTTATGCCATGCCTTGGAAATAATCTACGGCACTTATAAATATATTTGGATATAACTCCTTATTAGTGAAATCAAATATATTTGTGAAGATAATAACACAATATGGCATCAAGACAACGTTTTTCTACCTCTCTTTCTCTCAGAGGCTGAAGAGTCTCTAGTGCGTACCCAGAGGCTATTTAAGTATCCATGAAAAGACCTATGTGTAGACTCGTATTGTTGCATCAATTTTGCTCCAGAGACATCATAGACCCTTTTTCTTGTGATGTCTAGCATCTAGGTTCTACTAATATATGCAAGCTTCTTAGTTTATGAAGATTGATATTATCTTGTTCTTTGATTCCACACTACATCTCAATGTTGTGATATGCTACTTGCCTTTGTTGTTATCCGGAAATTCATTAATTTTTCTTTTTTCATTTTCCCCTTTTTTATGCAGATTTTCATTGGTGGAATTTCAAAGTCTCTTTCATCAAAAATGGTAATATGACACGATGTTTATGATGCAAATAGTTCTCTTTTCCCACCAAAAATTCATCTCCTCTTTTCATTTTCTTTTCCTATGTTCATCCATCAACTTTAGTGACTAGGCCTTTTATGCTGCTTTTCCAGCTTATGGAGATCATTAGTGTCTTTGGACCTTTGAAGGCATACCATTTTGAGGTCAATGAGGAACTTAATGAATCATGTGCTTTTCTGGAGGTAATAAAGCACATTTATGGCTCAAGTTAGTTTTTGTTTCTAGTATATTCTTTGTAAACGTTATGTGTTAATTTTTGGTAACAGCATCAGTTTTATCTGCCTTTGTTTGAAATACTGTTGTTCTTATACATTTATTTGGAAGAGAAGCATGCGTTTTAGTGTTTACCACTGTTGATTCAGAGCTGTATATTGCACTCTTTTTCCTATTCATAAATCAATTCCCCCTCACCATTGTTTTCCTAATGACATCTGGATGCTGCATCAGTATGTAGACCAGTCGGTTACTCTCAAAGCGTGTGCAGGTCTGAATGGTATGAAATTGGGTGGAAGAGTGCTAACTGCAGTTCAAGCAATTCATGATGCACCATCCTTGGTACAAAGACCACCCTCTTCCCTTTTCAAACAACTTTCGATATTTGATTGCTTGACCCCGTTTGTTATTTTACTTGGAGATGTGTACTGATGGAAGAATCGACATATTGTAGGAAAATGGAAATGTGTCATTACATGAGATCCCAGAATATGCAAAGCCACTTCTCAAACAACCTTCGCAGGTCCTAAAGCTCAGAAACGTGGTATGCTGTCATGCTTGATTTTATGTTTAATTTATTTAGGAAAATCGACAGTTAGTAAGAAGTACAGTTTATATGGATCAGTTTATTATTATTTTTCCTAATCTTTTTTTCCTTAATGTGAACTAGTTAAATCTGGAGCACATTTCACTACTATCTGAACCAGAGGTAGAAGAAGTTCTGGAAGATGTGCGATTAGAGTGTGCCAGGTCCCAGAGAATTTCATTTTCAGTTTTTGTTTTTGTTTTCTTTATAAATTATACTTGAGTAAATCTTAAAGCCCTTCAATTATGCAGGTTTGGAGCTGTCAAATCTGTAAAAGTTGTCAAGCATTGCAACAATTATGTCACCACGGGGGTATTTGAAGCCTTCAATGATGCAGAATCTGGGGGGTACCAGAACATCTTAGAGTCCGAACAAAAGGGAGCAAAAACAGATACTTTGGAAGAACATATTGATAACAAGTTCGTGGAGTTTCCTAGCAATGCCAAAGAAGTTAAAGAAGAAGAAGTTAAAGAAGATGAAGTTACCAAAGGTAACTGCTTTAGTGTAACTTCTTCAGATGATGAGCCTACAGATGATTTTATGGAGGAAAAATCATGTAAAATGGGTCAATTTGGTGAAGATATCGAAATCAAAGGAAGCGAGAACCCATCTAACAGGGTTCCTGAGCAACTCCACAACCAACTGAACAGCACGAAAGATGCTTCCGAATACTATGATGATAAAGCTACTGAAGCTATTGAAATAAATGACTTAAGTTTGGAAAACAAATTAATGGCTGAAGAAGAGGGATCAACTCAAGAGGAAGCTGATGGTGAGAAACTAAGAAGTTTTGCTGGAAAGGACTTTAGTTTGGGAACAGAGTCGGATGCTAATGAGAAGATTGAAATTAAGGAACAGAATCATGGGAAGGAGCATGATTATGATCTTGGAAGCATATTTGAGCCAGGGTGTGTTTTTGTGGAGTTTGGAAGAATAGAAGCCTCTTTAATGGCAGCACATTGTTTACATGGACGGGTTTTTGAGGATCGGATTGTGACAGTGGAATACATTTCACTTGATCATTACAGGGCTCATTTCAAAATTGAGTATGTTTGATTGCTATTGACAATGCTCGTGTTGTAATGACATGTTACCCATTTAGGCAGGCTTCATGATCGAACTATGCTGGTGTCTCCGTAGTCAACATTTTCCAGCCCTGTTAACATGTTATCTTTGAGCTTTGGCCATGACATGTATGGGCATTTTATTAGAGTTTGACCAGGTTGAGGATGCTGAAATCTTATTAAAAAGATTCAGTTTGATGTTTAATCTAACCGGTGCTTCGTTCCAGAGTATGAAGTGAAATGTGAAACGGGTACGATGCCCTTTGTTAAAGCCTTACAGTAATGAGGATGATTATGGAGAGGATTTGGCTAACTATACAACTTACCTTCCTATCTGCTAATAATCCTAAGTCTATATTTCATTCCTCTTCACTTAACCCTACCTTCGAGAAATGTGAAAACCAAAATTGGGGTTTCCAACTTCCATGGCCAAATTTGTAACAATCGGTATTGACACAAGTAGAAAGCAAAGGCCTCAAGGATTTATGCCAAAACAACAAAGAAATAAAGGACTTCATATCAATATTAGATTTTATTGATGTGAAATCAATAATATCAAAAATCTCTCCTCAAAATATCATGCAACTGTGACGGTGCAGTCCCCCTCGCTCACCCTAAAAATGAGTACATGGAAGGACCGTTTAATAAAGACCCTTAGATTAGACCAATGACACATATAGACTAACCTCACTCATACTATTTGTTTTACTCAAATAACCATTTTAATTATTCTAAGATACAGGTTTGCATCATCTTTCCCCCTCATCCCCTTACACCTACACTCGTTCGCAGTCTCGCTCTCCCTCAGTCTCTTAAACCTTCAAATTTATGACTTCTAAACTGTTGATTGTTCACATCTATATGCACAAATGTGACATATATATATATATATAATTTTATATATTATACAAAGCGATAATGAAGAGGGGGAATCGAACCTAGAATCTAGGATACATGAGTAAATACACTTAATCACTTGAACTATAAGTCCCTTCTTAAATATGAAACTTTTTATGTATTAAGTAATGTTATGGTATATTTTTCATATTTAATAAATTTCTTTCCCATCGTCAAGGTTATCTGAATATATTTTTTAAAGTCTCAGGGTTGAGCCCACTCAAAAGAGATTCAAGGCCCAGTGCCAGCGTTAAGCCCATCACACACACGGCGCAATCCATAGGCAATGGCCTTTCAAAACCAGAGGCTTCACTCCGATACAATCCTTTTTTCAGAAAAAGAAGATAAGAAGAAAGATAATCAAGAAGGGTGAAGACTGAGGAGCATCAATGGCAGCATCGGCAACAGCTGGAGTGTTTTTCGCCAACACCCGAAGTCTATGCTTTCGCAAAGCGGAGTCTTCCAAGAGATTGCTGCAGCCTTTTAGGGCCGAAGCAGTTTCGGATATCGGGTTCGTTACCAGTCAGCTGGGTGGCATCAAAATCTCCTACGACATGTCGTCTCAGCTGCCCAAGTCCATCTCCACCTCTTCCCCACCTACCCTTCAGCCCATTGTTGCCCGTAATTTCTCTAACCTTCAATTTCCCATATTTTCTCTGTTTTTATTTTTCTTCAAGGAACACTTTTTCTTTAGGAATTTTGGTAGTCATTTTTCATGTTCTTAATTAGATAACTTAAGGTTGTCCACTTTGATTTTTTTTGAGTGCTGAGAGACTTCAAAATGAATTTTTAGAATTGGAAGCTTGCTGTTTATAGTTAAAGGTAGAAGCTTCATAGAAAATTGTAGAAAATTGTTTTACATGTTGACAATGTGATATGCTAGTAAAAATGAACCTCAATCTTCTCCACACAAAAAAGAAGAAGCCGAAACAATTGTTTCCTTTCTTTGTTTTGGGGAGTGTGAATATGGGTTCAATTGCATTTCCTCTATATAGAAGTGGGGGACAGTAATTTTAGTCTGGTAGTGGAATCAAGTTGAATGGATTGTCCCATAAATGGGGTTTCTTGATTGATAATTTAGTTGAGAAGTTTCTTGATTGTTCTCATGGTCAAATGGGTCATTACAACTAATTGTTAGAATGGTGGAAATTGATTTACCTTGTGAATTGGTTAATTTCTTCAGGTAGAATTTGTCCTTTCACTGGGAAGAAATCAAATAGGGCAAACAAGATTTCCTTCTCGGCTCACAAGACCAAAAAGTTGCAGTTTGTGAACCTACAATACAAGAGGGTTTGGTGGGAAGCTGGGAAGCGCTTTCTGAAACTGCGTTTGTCAACTAAAGCATTGAAGACCATAGAGAAAAACGGAATTGATGCTGTTGCCAAGAAGGCTGGGATAGATCTTCGCAAGCTATGATACTCTGGGTTGTGTTATTTTACCCCAATATCTTGTTCAATATTCAGTTTTAGTTTTCCTTACTGCAGTCTACAAGTCCTTGTTGCTCTCTTTGTATGTTTTGTAGATTGAGTCTATGACTTTTATTGCTTAAAGCACAAGGAATGTTTTTCTACTGGCAATGCCCTCTTACATTTGTGCCTTGCTTTCAATGATAAACCAGGGCCTGAGATATGGAAATTATAAGAGAGAACCAAAGTTCTGCAAACGATCACTTTGCCATTTTTCTTGGTGTCAAGGGCATTGTTTTGCTCTAGTCTCTAGATTAGGAGAGGAACTCCCCTCTCGTGGGTGCAATACCTCTCTCTCTCTCTCTCTCTCTCTCTCTCTCTCTGTGTCTCTTGACGTGCCCGGAATAGGTAAGTTATTCCTCTAGATTACATTTTTTTGTGCATACTCAATTTGCATAACAGAGCATGAAAATGTGGTATGTTTTTCAATGCAAATACAGTTGGTTTGTTCTTTTCCTTGGGTGACAAAGACATCTTTTGTGCAGGCCCTTTTTATTTACTTAACATGTATGCTGGTGTGCATATTTTGTCAAAATACGGTAGAGGTTGTTTTACATCAAACATCATGGTCTAGCGAAAGAGTGCACTTCTCCATTTCCATTTTCAGATCACAGAAAAATGCAGGAATGTCTTTTCGTTTCAACCCAGATTTCCTAAAATATTATGAAAAGAAGTTGAAGTCGGTTTACTTTGTTTTATTACTCAATTTGGCTGGTCCATTTCTTTCCATGAGTTTAGGCAGCCTAAATTTGTTAGTTGATTACAAGAGAATGTCTATTAGCAATGTTTTTCATTCAACCTTCATCAAATTTCTAACTATTTCGGCAGAACTAAATATAATGGTTGGCCAATAGCGAAATGATTTGTTCTGGAAAAAAAATTAATCAAATGGTTCGTGAAAAATGAGTCATATGGTTAGTGATGATGGTGAAACTGAACAAATGGGCCAATTTAGGCCTGCTCTTTTCCTGTTGATTTTGGTCCTCTTTTTCTGCAAAATTATGAGTGAATATATATTCGGGTATTTTGAGGACAGCAATGCTAATAAGTCATATTCAATTTGGAAAATATATATTGGGGCATGTTGTTTTTTATAATATAATTAAACACGTAGAAGTAAATAATAGAAGTGTTTAACAAGTCATGTACAATTTGGTCCTCCTTTTCTGGAATTTACATGTATTGCGGGGTGTTGAGGAGGACACAAACAGCTTAGCACGTTCTAGATAGAGATTTGGTGATGAATATTCTTAAGGCTAAACAGCAAGCTGAACTAGAATGCAACTTCTTATAAAAATAGTTAGTGATTGATTGGATAGTTTGATGGTGTTGAGCCTTCCCAATCCGACTATAAATTGGCCTCAACTCAAAATTGAGTTGCATCATCCTTCCAAAAAAATAAAAATAAAAAAAATACATAGAACAAAATAACATAGTGGAAGGAAAATCAAGATGGCTCTGAAATTAAATTTATTGGCAATGCTTTTGTTCTTATTGTTAGCATCTACATCTAAAGCTCATGCTAGTGTGTTTGACGTGACGAGTGCAACATACGGTGCAAAGCCTAGCTCTAATGTCAGTAAGGCCTTGGCCAAGGCTTGGAGTGATGCATGTGCGTCGCCATCGGCGAGTAAAGTTGTTGTTCCGAGCGGGACATACAAGTTAAAAGAAGCAACTTTCAGAGGCCCCTGTAAGGCTCCTATTGAGATGCAAGTTCAAGGCACATTGCAGGCTCCAGCAGATGCTAGCCAACTCACAAGACCGGATACTTGGGTTGACTTTCAGTACATTGACATGTTCACCTTATCGGGTGGTGGGACTTTTGATGGCCAAGGAGCACTTGCTTGGAGTCAAAATGACTGCCACAAAAACAAAAATTGCAAACCTATTCCCATTAATCTGCGGTTCAAATTCCTCACCAATTCCAAAGTTCAGGACATAACTTCACTTAAACAGCAAATATTTCCACATGCATGTTTTCCGGTGCAACCATACTACATTTCAACATCTTACCATCACAATGAGGTCCACCTCTATTAATAAGACTCAAAACTGTCATCGACAGAAAATAACTGAATTTGTCTTCTCAAGTTTATCCAGACAACAAAAATAGCATGTTTCGGCCATTTAAACTCACATAGAAGACAGTTTTTACACTAGAACCATCGTCTGAATTGTTAACATATGACGTTGAAAAATTGTCGTATGATGCCTTGCGAGAGACGGCGCTCACTTATACGACAACATATTTTGTTCTAGTGGATATCTATCCAAAAGTTCAGCCTCAAGAGCAGATCCCTATCCAAGAGAAGCCGCAGGACAGCTCAAAACCGAACTATAGTAGAATCTTGAAAAATCCCTCATAATAACCAGCACACCCCGAGAAACCTAGGATTCAACTTGACCCAAGAAGAACTAGGAGGATGCCAAAGTGAAGGGAATAATTTCCAAAGCACCTAAATTTAATAGTGTGAAAGGGGAAATGATTTCTTGGGATTATATATCATGCAAATTTCTTTTTACTGGATATCCGGCACATCATAGTGGGACACTTCCTTTGTGTGAAGGACTGTACTGGGGCAACTGAAAAAAATCCCAGAGTGGATGTACAAGTGTATGTTGATATATATATATATATATATGGAACTGTTGAATATAATGCTCTTGTGCTTGATAATTCAAGAAAAATCTAGAGATTCAAGAAGACTTCACCGACTATGCAAAGTCGGCAAGCTCAAGGCTGCATGGCATAATTATTATAAAGGACTAAAATATCCTATCTACTAGAAAAGTCTAGAGAAATAAAATATGTGGCTGGAGTGAAAAGAACCCTTTAAAGTTGGTGGATAGGCAATGTCGACAAACTCTCTCTATATACAAATAAGTGCTGAGAGCTCAATGTAATGATCAAGCTAGAAAGCTAGGAAACTAAGCTAATAATAAGCTAGCAATCTAGCCATATGTACACAAAGCTATGTTCTATCCTAAAACCCCTTCACCCTTAAACCCAACAATGGTATCAGAGTGAAACACCCTAAAATACCAACAGAAACGCATACAGTCGTACTATTTCTGCAAAACCAATAAATATCTTGCTTGGTAGAAAGTAATATTGTGCTTGTATATATGTAAACAGAAAGCTGATAGCGAAAGCGTAGAATGAATCTGCATGCGTTAGTGAAACTGCGTGAGTGGTTTGTATACAGGCATTGAGAGTGACTCTGCGTTAGTGATTCAGTTCATGCATAGTCAGTGGAAGTCCTCACGTCCCTTGTTCATTGTTTGTGCTCCTGTCGCAGTGTAAAGCTTTACTGCGTACTTGTATTAGCTTCATTTTGACGTCATTAGTATTATTGATGATAATGGAGACAGAAGCAGTCCGTCTTCAGAGTTGAATGAAATGAAAGGAAAGGCCTTACATATCATATCAGTAACAAAAAGACAGATCAATACATGGCCCACATCGGATACTTAACTGATGTGGAACTCGTGTATTTTGTTAAGTATTCGATGTAGGACTTGTGTATTCTTCAACAAGTGGCACATGCTCAAATACACATAATAAATTCTGAAATAATATTATTATGTGCTCGTCTCTCAAATACATTTTATGGCGTAAGAATGAAGACATGGTCTACTTGTCCTTCCGCTAGTACAACAATAATTACTACTTTCTCCGGTGAGATCAATGACGATGTATCACAAGAAACGGAACTTATCACGCCAATAATTGTGGGCTTGACATTAGAACACAGGGAGCTAAGGGGGCCTTTGTCTCCAACATAGGCGAGACCAATGTCAGCCAACTCCACATTCTCACATGGTACACCACTGCAACATACAAGCCTCACTGCAATTGGAGTGAAAGTTGAGCCCTTAATGTTCTTGAAGCTGACATTGCTGATCTCAACTTTCAACAGAGGCTTTTGGTCACACTGAGGATACGGGCAGTGCTTTTGGTCTATGAGGATAGGGTTACTGACATTAACCATATAATATCCTCATACTCATAGTTTGGGGAATTATTAGAAAATTAAATTGTAAATATTTAATATTATAATAATGTGAATGAAAATTATATTAAGTTGTGGGACCAGTGACTTTTCAATATGGTACATGATCATCGGATTTTTGGTATATGACCATTGGCCCTATGTGTGACTATTTAAGTTACACAAAATAAAATTAATATTTTATTATCAACATTTACGGTTGATGGGATGAGACTTTCTATGAAAAGTCACTAATAAAATAATGTTTTATGAAAGGTTGCAATTCAAAATTGCAAAGAAGTGCTAAACGTTGCCATTACTGTGGTCTGGTCAACGTGCTAATGTATCTGTTGTGCAACATGTGTAAATTTTCAGTCGCATCTTTCCTGAACAGATGCATAACTCTCTATAAATAGAGAGCAATCCCAGACTTCTGATTAATCCAATTGTCATTCTACAATAGTAGTTTTTGGAGCATTCATAGCATTGTATTTTAAAAAATATAGTGAGTTAGTAAGAGAGAGTTCATACACAAGTTTGAGTTAGCTTTTCTTGGGGATTGGAGTGCTACTTAAACAAGAAGTCAATCGTTGTATCTTGGGAGATGTTTGCCAAGCAAATCCTAAAAGCACCTGTAATGAGGCAATTTCGTCTTAAGGATATAGAAGCAAGTTCTAAACTCAATCATCTGTAAAGTATTCTTAATTTTCATTGTCATTATTTTCTTGTATTTATTTTGAATTTATAATGAAGTTTTATTTTCAAAATTCTGTAAATATAGTAATAAATTTTCTTTATTTGACTAACAGTTTAGCCTTAAGAATATTCATCACCAAATCACTCTCTAGAACGTACGTGTTTGTAGTATTGCTGTCCTCCTCAGCACATATGTGTGTGTGTGTATGTATAATATATATCATTTAAAATTTCCATGAAGCAACCCTCTGGTAAATTAGGTCTTCTATCAGTTTTGGACTCACTAGCTTTAATCTTGGAAGTACAAGAAATTTATTTGCAAAGAAAAAATACACTAGTATTTCTAGTTCTTAGATAAAGTACAGAAATCTGACCGAAAAAAATCCGGTACATGTAGCCGAAAAAGTCAAAGAACACAATACGATTTGTCTGTAGTGTACTTTCTACTTCTTTAATCCAGCAGAGGTAGCACAAGCGAGAGCTTTTGTCACGCGAGTAATGGTGGGCTTGACATTAGAACATCGAGAGGTAAGAGGGCCTTTTTTTCCACTGTAGGTGAGATCAATGTCAGCTAATTCCACATTCTCACATGGTATGCAACTGCTACATACTATAAGGATGATGAAGCTCCATTTTGCTTCGAGGCCAATTTTTAGTCTGACTAGGGTCAAAACCATCAAAAAATCCAACCAACCACTAGCTCTTTTTATAGGTTTTAAGAAGATACATTTTAGTTCAACTTCTATACTATAATTAGTAAGCTGTTTAGCCTAAAAAAAAGGGTCCCCAAGAAAACACAGGTGTTCACCGGAAAACAGCACTATGCTGCAAATATTTCCTTGAAAAGCATCAAGGCCAACAGGATTTAGAGCACACCAGTTATCTTATAGCATTTTTTACCTCTTCCATCACGTTTTTCATCACTGAAAGTGTCCACTAAGAATTTAGCAGCAAGATCACTCAATATTTCTTGAGTTTCGGCAGAGTAGAGGACCAAACCTATGACCTGCAAGACCTTGATAGAGTTAGGATAGAAGATCAGCATGAAAAGACAGTGACCTTGTTGGGGAAAGCCAATAAGAGTCGGCTCAAACTAGTGACTCCATTTTTATCTTGTTGAATATCCATTGAAATTTTGTAATTTTACTTTTGCAATCATCTTCATGCACACCTCAGACTTCTTTTCATTTTACATTTACTCATCCGAGACTTGTTGTCTAATATCTAATAATTTCTGACTGCCTTTTTGATTATTTGCTAAATACTTAGAAATTGCATGAATGTTGCATGAAATAGTATTAGACATTGCAGTCATTTCCTTGTAGTCAATTAACAAGAACAGGGTACCTGAATTCGGTAAAAATAATTACTGACCAGCTAAATTAAGAAATAAAGCAAAGTGAAGTTGTTTTTTTTTTTTCTTCATAGTATTCGGCAACTGTTGAAGGAAAAGCCATTCCTGTTTTTTTGGTTTTTTTCTGTGATCTGAAAATGGAATAGTGCATTCCTCAGCAGAGTTATAATCAGAAATGTGCCTATAGATGTATGATGAAGTCTCCCTATTGAGAAGAAGTCAAGAACAATGAGAACTAATATATTATAGAATCTTGAAGATATCACAAAGTAGAATGAACTTGTTTTTAATAGATACTCGATAGAACAAGGAAAGTCATTATGAAAAATCTGAGACATGGTTACCTTCAAGAAAATATGAGAAACCTGAAAGTGTATTGTACGCAACTGATCAAGTCGATTCCTCCATCACACTCTATCCAAAGTCTATGCCACCTATTACCCTAAGAATAAGAAGCAGCCATAACTGCCAAAAGTTCAGCCTCAAGAGAAGATCCCTATCCAAGAGAAGCCCCTAGGACAGCTCAAAACCGAACCAGTAGAATCACGAAAAATCACTCCTTCCCCCGAGAAACCCCTAACAACCCCATCAAAATTCAACTTGACACAAGAAGAACTAAGAGGATGCCAAAGTGAATGGAATAATTTGCGAAGCACCTAAGTTTAATAACGAAGGGGGGAATGATTGCTTGGGACGTCATGCAAATTTCTTTTTACTGGACATCCCACACATCATAGTGGGACACTTCCTTAACGAGAAGGACTGTAATGCGGCAACTGAAAAAATCCCAGAGTGAAAGTGCAAGTGTATGTCGATATATGTAACGTGTACAGTCGTACCATTTGTGCAGAAGCAATAAAACTACCTAAAAGAAAACTAAATATATTGCTTGGTATAAAGTAATATTGTACTTGTATATGTGATGTGAACAGAAAGCTGATAGAGAAAGCGTTGAATGACTATGCGTTAGGAGACATCCCTTTGAGAGTGACTCTGCGTTAGTGGTTCAGTTCATGCATAGTCAGTGGAAGTCCTCACATCCCTTTGTTTGTGGTTGGTACTCCTGTCGCAGTGTAAAGCTTTATTGCATGCTTGTATTGTGTGGACCTCATTTTGTTGTCATTAGTATTATTGATGATAATAGAAATAGAAACTGTCTGCCTATGCTTTAGAGTTGATTGAAATGGAAACTTTTTATAAG